TAAAGCACCACATATCTTTGAATGTATAAGCCTTTGTCATTGCAGGTTTGAATATGGGCGTTCATCCCTTAAGAACAGTGGAGAAACTCAGCTATGCATTGAATGGTAGTTAGAAAATGGAAAACATTTTAACAACTGTCATTTGATCTTTTAGTTAAGCTATAGTGCATACTAAGTTAGAACCAGTCCAAAAAGAGCAATTCAATAGAACAAAGGAGCGTGCTGACATTTTACCCAGTAAGATGTGTTTAGCACCCACTTCCACCTCAACCCAGCTGCCCACACCGGCTGTAAGGTCAGCAGAGATATGGCTCTGCCTATGTTTTCAGGGCCAGGACTTGTGTCAAGACTGATGCAGAGTTACATTGCACCACGTTCCCCAAAAGGGCACCAAACCGTTTTTCACCAAGATATGCCCATTGGCTGTGGGCAGAGGCTGCCAGGAGCACTCCTATCTATCACCTCTGCTCCGGCTGGTGAAGTGTGTTTGGTCATGGCCTCCATGGAGCCAATACTGTTCCCAAAAATCAAACGGGCCAGCTTACTTCTGAAGAGGACCTGCGATGATTCCTCAAGCCTAAGAGAAGCCTTCTGGTTTACTTCGTACAGCTGCTTGGAAACAACTCACTAACCATCCGAACACCGGCTTCATCTCATGTGCTGTAGCTATATGGCTTTCATTAGTCATGACCCACACATGATATTTAAATAGACAAGAACAGATAGGCCAAGCTGAGGTGAATCATTTTTTCCAGGGTTACTGATGGCTTCGTAACTCAGGATCACTGGTGCGCAGAAGGATGTGATGGAGTTACAAGAGGCTGCTTATTACATCTGGCAGCAAACTTGCACACAAGTAACTATAAAACCTGTTTATTCACTGGAAGTAAATAAGAGGTACACCCTATAGAGAAATGATTGACTTTTTTCTCTTGCGTGTGTTGTGAGAACTGGGTTACTATCTGTCATCAGGAGATGAAAAACACTGAAACCCCACAAAAAACAGCTCAGCAGTGCAAAGTCAGCCCTGCAGTTCACAGAGCAGGAGCAGTCTGACGTGCTATGGCCAGGAGACACAACTGCAGCTATTAAACATTTCTGTGAAACGTGTAAAAGCTATCTCAGAAAGGTGGAGGAATATAAAAGGAAATCTTAACAAAAAGTTGCACAGCGTAGCTGCTTGTAGCTCAGAACCTT